GTCTCTTTCTGCAGTGCCCTTTCCTGAGTGGTGGACCGCCTTCCGGTGACTGAGGCTTGTGGGCGTGGATCCAGTCTCCTGCAGGGCCGCCGCCGCCTCGCGGCCCTCAGCCTCTCTGGCTCTGTCCTGACCCCTGTTACACCAGAAACTGACCTGTGTGCAAGCTGAAACCAGGACGGGGGGCGTGGGGGCGGAGCGGGGGTCAGGAGCCCGGGAGGGCGCAGGAGTGGGGGCTGCACCCCGCCGAGGGTCCTGGGGGCCACGCCCCTTTGGACGGGTGCCCTTGGTTGGTGCAGAACGAGCCGCTGAAAGATGGGAAAGAGCAGCGGTTGCCGCTGGAGGCCGTGAAGTGGGCTCCTGACCAGGTGCGTGTGCTGAGGGGCTCTGTCCCCGCGTCGCCGCCCCCCTTGGGGCCCTGCGGGCAGCCTGGTCAAGCAGAGAGGAGATGTGGAGCTTCCAGGCTGCCTCCCCTCGCGTGGTGTTCTCCCCGCTGGGCCCAGGGCTGTGGCCGGAGCCTCTGCTCTGGCAGCTGAACCCTGGGCTGCTGCCTTGCGTGGACTCTTTCTCAGACGTAAGGTGTTTGAACAAGCCCAGGTGTACGTTCTCTGTCTCTGTAAAGTGGTGTCTTATTTTCAGCAGGCTTCGTGTTTAGAAGATGAAGCTTGTGTTGTAAAGCCCATTCTGTACGGAGGCCTCTGGATCCTCTCTCCTTCCCCTCAGGGTGCTCCTGAGCCAGCTCTGGAGCAGCCTCTGCAGAGCCTGGCCCACGGCCCGGGGTCAGGCATGACTTTCCAGGCGCACCCAGCTTGCAGCCTGTGCTGTTCCTCCGCCCTGTGCGCGCGCCCCGTTTCACATGTGTGTGCTGTTCCTCCGCCCTGTGCGCGCGCCCCGTTTCACATGTGTGTGCTGTTCCTCCGCCCTGTGCGCTCGCCCCGTTTCACATGTGTGTGCTGTTCCTCCGCCCTGTGCGCGCGCCCCGTTTCACATGTGTGTTTCCTGGTTGGTAGACGTTTGTGTTGCTCCCGCTGCCGGCTCTCGTGCTGCTGTGAACGCCCCCATGGGGACTTGTGTCCATGCTGTCTATGGGTCTTCTCGGCGCATTCTCGGGGTGCCTTCCTGGGGCCCCTTGTGGCGCTCTGTGTGTGTGGCCAGGGGTCGTCTCCCTGCCCCGCAGCAGCCAGAACAGGGCTCTGGCTTCTCGCCGCCCCCAGCTTCTGCTCTCTGGGGCCCAGCTCTCAGGGTGCTGTGCAGCCCGGCGGGGGAGGCAGTGGTGCGGCGCAGTCTGGGTTCTGGCCTGCAGTTCCTTGGTTACCAGCGGCCTCCAGCTTCTCTTGTGCTGCTTGTCGTCCATCAGCCTTGGAGACACACTGGTTCAGGGCCTCTGTCCTTTCCCATGTTTGCACCATTGGGTTGTTTGCTGTTGAGTTGTCGGTTTGTTTGTTTCTCATGGAAATTTTTACGTATGTTGTGCTAAAGCAGTGGGAACAGTAAAATGACCCTTGGGGACACACCCCAGGCCCAGGTGTCCTGGTTACTCCCCACCCCTGGGATTCCATTTAACATCACCACTCGTTTGGACACTTTCTCTGGCAGCTAAGGTGGTAAAGAATCTGCCCATAATGCGGGAGACCCCGGTTCCATCCCTGGGTCAGGAAGATCCCTTGGAGAAGGGTATGGCAACTCACTCCAGTATTTGTGCCTGGGGAATCCCATGGACAGAGGAGCCAGGTGGGCTACAAGAGCTGGACACGACTGCGCGACTTAAGCGTGCGCGTGTGCACACACGTCTGGACACAGTTCAGAGTTCCCAGTTGGATCCTGGTCAGCTTTACAGTTGATTTGCTTGAGTTAAGATCCAAATAAGGTTCGCACATTGCATTGTTTCCTTTCAGTGTCTGTCTCGAAGGAACGGGACGGTGTGTCCAGAGCGTCTGTGTTTGGGCTTGGGGAGGCTAGCCTCACAGCTCTGTCCGGGGGTGAATTGGCTGCATCTGCCCCTGGCTCAGGTATCGGGCAGAAGCCCTGAGCTGTGGGGTTGAGTGCATCCATCCGTCCAGGCGGGGGTGGGGCCGGTGTGGAGCACGGTCACCGGCTGGAGCCGCTCAGCTGTCTGGCACGGGAAGCCCTCTCCTCAGAGGCCTTGGGGCCTTCTGCCTAGTGCTCCATCCTGGCCCAGCTCCCCAGCAGGCGGCGTCCCGAGTGGGGTCCGGCTGGCTGACGCCTTCAGGGCAGTGGGCCTGCCTCTAGGCCGCACACTGGGCCCCCGGAACCTTGGAGAGCTGTGCCCGACCGACCGGCTGGCTCCCCGGGGGAGGGCAGGCCCAGTCGGCCATGCGGAGGCTCAGTAGGGGCCAGGGTCCTTGCTGCCCCACCCCCACAGGGTGCAGGCCCGCCCCGCCCGCCCTGCATCTCTTCCTGCCTCCACTTCACATGCGAATCCGACGTGGATGTCATGACACACGGGCCTCCCTCCCCTGACCCGGAGCAGAGCCTGGCCAAGGGCCCGGGCAGACGTGCGCCCAGCACCACGGCTGCTCCTCCGGGGCTAGCGGGGCCTCTGCTGACCGTCACGCGGGGGTCACCTGGAGCCACAGAACTGCTTCCTACCGGTCCTCCCTTTTTGGGCCCTGCCTCCCCGCCAGCCGCACCCAGGCCCTGACATCCCCACACGCTGCCCCCCAGCCTGGGCTGAGGCCTGGAGGCCCCTGGCAGAGGCTTGTCTGTGGCTTCTTCCTGCCTCCCGACGCCAGGCACTGTGGTTGGTGGTAGACCCCGCCGTGATGCTGAGCCAGTGGAGGAAGCTGTGTGTTGCAGAGGCAAGCCATGGGCTCAGGCCCGTTGCCTTGAATGTGAAAGTGTCGGTCGCCCAAGCGTGTCCAGCTCTCTGCAACCCCCTGGACTGCATGTAGCCCGCCAGGTACTGGAGTGCGTTGCCATGCTCTTCTCTGGGGGATCTTCCCGACCCAGGGATCAAACCCGTGTCTCCTGCACTGTAAGCGGAATGTGTACTGTCTGAACCACCACTGTGTGGTATTTGGGGGTGCGTTTTGTGGCCCTTAATTAAACGACAAGTGACAACGTGTTAAGATGTTCTCTGACATACTGTTTGTATAGCTTCCCGGCCCGCAGACCGCCCCCCCTCCCCCCGACCCAGCGTCAGTGCACGGAGCTGGGTCCTACCCACTGCAGGGAGACAGGCTGCGTCTGAGCTCAGGAGGGCCGCGGGCAGGGTGGCGCCTCAGGTGAGTCTGCGGGAGCTGAGACAGGCAGGCCAGTTGCCTGCGGGGCCCGGCGACGCTCCTGGGGTGGGCAGAGTGCCCTGCGTGCGTCTGTGCTCGGGGCTGTGAAGGTTCTGATCAGCTGCGTACCCGCTGCTGCCGGACTGCGGGCCCAGCTGCTTCCGGCGGAGCTGGGTCTCTGCCGCAGCCGCTGAGGCCAGGCACGTAGGCGGCTCCAGGTCGGCCGGTCGCTGGGCAGGAAGTGGGGCATGCTTCCTCCAGGCCTGCGTGAGCGGCCGGCCACGGGCCTTGGCCTGTGTGGAGCTGGACACGTCGTCAGGCGCTCCATCCTTGCTGCCCCTGGGCTGCCTGTATCCTGGCTCCCTGGTCGGGGCCACGCCCCCAGGACTGGGCGGAGGAGTCCCATTGGGGGTCCTGTGACCCGGGCCTCCGTGGGGAGCGTGCGCCAGTGTGTGGGAACGCGGGGGCCCTGCCCCCCAGGGGCCGTGGACAGATGGCCTCCTTCCCGTCTGTGTTTCTCCCACTGGCTGCGTCCTGAGATCCCCGGGAGGGCAGAGGGGCAGGTTGGCCGTGGGGGTGGCAGGTGTTGCAGAGCAGAGGCTGTGAGGGCAGCAAGCCCGCTGGGGGGTCCCCACTGTCGTGGGGACCGGTGATGTGGGGCTTCCGGGCCTCGGCGTGGGGGGCTGGCTCTGCCCTTCTCTGGCTGTGGCGGGCCCACCACACGCTGCCGCACTCACCCCGGAGCTCTCGGCAGGTCTGTGCCCCCTTGGCACCACGACCTGGTCGCTTCCATCAGCACGGCGTACGAACAAGGCCTCCAGGCTGGATTGGCAGCCACTGGGGGAGTGACCTCTGGCTCGTCGCCCCCAGCAGGCAGCGTCCTGGTGCCTGCAGTGAAGGCCCGATGGCTCCTTTTGGCGACAGAGCTTGTGTCCACCCTCTGTGGCTTTTGTCAGGAGCCCTGCCTGGTCCCTGGGCCCCGTGTGGGGTCAGGAACTAGCCTTCTGTGCGGGGGTCGGCGGGCAGCCTTGCTGGAGCTCCCTGCAGACTCAGGGCACTGCCCTGTGACCGCTGCTCAGGGAGGGGGCGCGGTGCCCGGGTGTCCCCGAGGAGGGCGGCCCGCAGACAGCACCCAGGACGTGCCACGCCGGGACGCTCTTTCTTTAGTTCATGGTATTTTCATAAAGGGGGTGAATTTCCAAATGTAATTGTGTAGTTTCTGCTTCATAAGGATTCTTGCAAATAAGGTAAAGGCTAATCTCTAGCTTACCTGCTCTGTCATATGATAAGATACTCTGAGGGACACATCACGTCTATAGTTGGGAACAGTGCATCCTGGACATGGAGCTGGGCACTTGTCGGAGCCAAGCTGACCCTTGCACACGCGCCGCGGGGCCTGCCGCCCATGCCGGCGGCTCTGGGTGTTTCCTCTGCAGACTGGCGGCCGCCGCCCTCGCTGTGAGGTGGGGTCGTCCTGTGAGTCGGGGCGCGGGGCGGCTGGACTCAGCTCTTCCTGACACAGAGCTGCCGCTCCCTCGGCCCCTGACACCATGGGCCTGGGCCCCGGCCCACCGAGCTTTCTGCAGAGGCTCGGCCCGCCTGGACTTGGCAGCACCCGCCCCTCCACCGTGCCCTGAGGAGCTGGGGAGGGGTGTCACTCGCGTGTCTTCTTTCTTTCCCTGCAGAACATTGACATCACCAACCGTGCCCTGAGGAGCTGGGGAGGGGTGTCACTCACGTGTGCTCTTTCTTCTCCTGCAGAACATTGACATCACCAATTTCAGCAGCAGCTGGAACGACGGGCTGGCCTTCTGCGCCCTGCTGCACACGTACCTCCCCGCGCACATCCCCTACCAGGAGCTCAGCGGCCAGGACAAGGTGCGGGCACGCGGGCGCAGAGGAGCGGCCCTTGTGGGGGCACGGGGGCGGGCTGCCGGCTCAGGCTCCTCCCCATCCAGCCAGGGCTGGCCCAGTCCAGTCCAGTTCAGTCGCTCAGTCGTGTCCAACTCTGTGATCCCACGAACTGCAGCACGCCAGGCCTCCCTGTCCGTCACCAACTCCCAGAGTCTACTCAGACTCATGCTTATCCAGTCGGTGACGCCATCCAGCCATCTCATCCTCTGTCGTCCCCTTCTCCTCCTGCCTTCAACCTTTCCCAGCATCAGGGCCTTTTCTAGTGAATCAGTTCTTCTCATCAGGTGGCCAAAGTACTGGAGTTTCAGCTTCAGCATCAGTCCTTCCAATGAACACCCAGGACTGATCTCCTTTAGGATGGACTGGTTGGATCTCCTTGCAGTCCAAGGGACTCTCAAGAGTCTTCTCCAACACCACAGTTCAAAAGCATCAATTCTTCGGTGTTCAGCTTTCTTTATGGTCCAACTCTCACATCCATACAGGACCACTGGAAAAACCATAGCCTTGACTAGAAGGACCTTTGTTGGCAAAGTAATGTCTCTGCTTTTTAATATGCTCTCTAGGTTGGTCATAGTTTTCCTTCCAAGGAGTAAGCAGCTTTTAATTTCATGGCTGCAGTCACCATCTGCAGTGATTTTGGAGCCCAGAAAAATGAAGTCAGCCACTGTTTCCCCATCTATTTGCCATGAAGTGATGGGACCAGATGCCATGATCTTAGTTTTCTGCATGTTGAGCTTTAAGCCAACTTTTCACTCTCCTCTTTCGCTTTCATCAGGAGGCTCTTTAGTTCTTCGCTTTTTGCCATAAGGATGGTGTCATCTGCATGTCTGAGGTTATTGATATTTCTCCCAGCAGTCTTGATTCCAGCTTGTGCTTCCTCCAGCCCAGCGTTTCTCTTGATGTACTCTGCATATAAGTTAAATAAGCTGGGTGACAATATACAGCCTTGACATACTTCTTTCCCAGTTTGGAACCAGTCTGTTGCTCCATGTCCAGTTCTAACTATTCTTGACCTGCATACAGGTTTCTCAAGAGGCGGGTCAGGTGGTCTGGTATTCCCATCTCTTTCAGAATTTTCCAGTTTCTTGTGATCCACACAGTCAAAGGCTTTGGCATAGTCAATAAAGCAGAAGTAGATATTTTTCTGGAACTCTCTTGCTTTTTCAGTAATTCAGCAGATGTTGGCAATTTGATCTCTGGCTCCTCTGCCTTTTCTAAATCCAGCTTGAACATCTGGAAGTTCATGGTTCATGTACTGTTGAAGCCTGGCTTAGAAAATTTTGAGCATTACTTTGTCAGAGTGTGAGATAAGTGAAATTGTGTGCTAGTTTGAAGATTGTTTGACATTACGTTTCTTTGGGATTGGAATGAAAACTGACCTTTTCCAGTCCTGTGGAAAGGGATTCGATCTGATAGAACACCTGAAGAGCTATGGACAGAGGTTCATGACACTGTACAGGAGGCAGAGATCAAGACCATCCCCCAGAAAGACGGGCTCAAGCCTTCTACTGCCCCCAGAGCCCCGCCTCAGGGCCCCCTCCTGCCCTTCAGATGACTTCTGAAGACCCCCACAAGGGGAAACTGTTTCACAAGTGTTTCTTATTAGCTTTGGGGGTGTAGAGGCAGCTCCGGTCTGAGCCCTGTTGGGGGTCACTGCACAGCCGGTCGGCAGAGGGGCGTGGGGGCCCAGGGCGGCGGTCAGTGCGGCAGGCGTGGGTGGGCTGGTGGCCGTCCCTGGCCTGCTCACACAGCCGTCCTGTGGCTTCTCTTCCAGCGGAGGAACTTCACGCTGGCCTTCCAGGCGGCTGAGAGCGTCGGTATCAAGTCCACACTGGTGAGGCCTCACCCTGAGGGGGCTGCTGGGCGGGGCCCGAGGCGCTCGGGGGCGGTGCCAGCTGCGGGGACCCGGGAGGGTGCGGACAGCCCGCCCCGTGCGCCCCGTGCCTCACACGGAGCGTCTGAGGCCGCACCCTGGCTGGAAGTGGTCAGGGTCACCATCAGAGGTGCACCCCAGCAGCTCGGCCTGCGCCCCAGTGGGGGGCGGGGGCCCAGAGCACGGGGCGCCTGGGGATGCAGTCAGGGCGGGGCGGGCCTGCCGTGCTCGGGACAGACTGTTCTGTGGGGGCTCCTGCCTTGTCAGCAAGTTTGACTTGAAGGGAGAAAACGCTGCATCCAAGTACAAAGCCAGCCTCCCCACACCCAGAGACGCACAGCTTAGGGTATCCGCAGAGTGCGGGACCCCACGGGGCCAGGTCAGGAGCCCCCAGAGCTACCTCCCAGCCCGAGGGTACCTGTCACCTGCCTTGTAGCAACCGATAGCTTTGAACAAGTGTTTACACTCATCTTTACCTTGCAGGAGTGTTTATGCAGAATTCCATGAATCTGTCCTGTGATCTCACAGAAGCCCATGTTTTTGAGTGGCTTCTATTCGGTTGTAAACGTAGACAGAAGTATGGTTATGTGATGGTTCCCTTATCTGGAAGGTTCACGCCACGTGTAAAGTTCTGATGTCCAAGAAGCGGGCAGTCCCCCACCCTGAAAGCTTCCTGTTGAGGCTCCTCCACTGGACACACGCGTGTTCCTTCTCCCCGTCCGGCCAGCCCCACGCTCGTCTGTGCCCTGTACCCCCGGCCCTCCAGCGGGCCTGGGAGGCCCGGCTCAGAGCTCAGGCCCCCGCCCGCTTCCCAGCAGCACCTGCAGGCCTCGGGGTCACGGCTGGGGGCTGTGCAGCGGGCCTGGGGGGCACACATGTGTGGGGATGAGCCCCATTGGGCCTTGGGCAGCCCTGGGCACCCGGCGGGGATGTGGCCACGTCCTGCCCTCTGGCCTGTGTGACAGGCGGGGCGGGGCCCAGAGCCCGTGGGCCACCCAGGTTCTAACGGCCACTTGCTTCCCGTCAGGACATCAGCGAGATGGTGCGGACCGAGCGGCCGGACTGGCAGAGTGTGATGCTCTACGTGACCGCCATCTACAAGTACTTTGAGACCTGAGCGCCTGCCGCCCGTCACGGGGCCCGGCAAGCTTCCTGTGCCCCAGCCACCTGCCCCGCGGGGACTCGGCCTGCGGCCCGACCCGCTTACCGACCCGGGTCGGAGCCGTGGCGGGAGGCTCGTCCTCCGCCAGCCAGGGCACTGGGCTTCCTGCGCCCGCAGCCCCGGGAAGCACCTCGCTGCCCACCCGAGAACCAGGGGCCTGCCGGGAACTGCCTGCCTCCTGCCCCCACTCCCGCGCGCAGACACGTCCGCTGCCCTCCAGCCCCAGGGGCCTGGAAACCCGGTGCTGGCTTCAGGGTCCTAACAGAGGAGTCCTCCACAAGCGGTTCTTGGGCTAGAAAGTGTGTTTCTTACGAGCAATATTGGGGGAGGGGCTCCTGTTCTCAGCACCACTGTTAAATCGTTTTAGTAAGCATAGCGATGAAACAGCGTCCGGACGTGAGGCGGGGAAACAGGACCAGCGTCGCCAGAAACGGAGGAAAAGCTGAGTGAGCCGAGGCCCAGACACTGCGGCTTCAGCCCCTGCAGCGCTTGGACATGGCCTGCCTCTGGCGGGGTGGACAAAAGTGCCTTAGCTCTGCAGGCCGGGCCCGCATCCTGATGACCAGCCTCGGCCCGTCCTGGGGCCCAGGAGCCGCTGGGGTGGCCCGTGTCCAGAACCCAGACTGGCAGGCGGAAGGGCGGCCTGCACCCCAGGGGGCTTGGGGCAAGGAGGCAGCTGCGCAGCGGGCGCTGTGGCTCCATGGGGTGAGAGGCTCTGGGTGAAGCGCCGTTGTCAGCTGTGGAGCAGCGCCCGGCCGGAGCCCAGGCTCCCGAGGACACCTGCCAGCCACCCTGCCCGGCCTGCCCTCGCATCTGCGGGCGCCACTGTGCCCACCTGGTGGCCGTCAGGGAGAAGGGCCGCCCTCCACGTCTCTCGCCTCGGCTCCTCTCTCCCCCACGCTAACGGCAGCCTGCGTGCCCGGCCTGTGGCCACGATTGAGTCTATTTATTAAGTGGGGGCCGCTTTCCTGTCCGACGGAGACTTCCCTGGGTCTGCAGGCCACTTGCTGTCCCTGGGGGCGCCTGCTGCAGGGCCGGGGGCCCCGGTGTCCCCTGGAGGAGTGCCCGGCTTCAGCCCAGGGCTGGTGGGGCTACAAAGGGGTCTCCCGGGGGCCCTGCTGCCTCTGACGACAGCCCATGTGGCCAGGCCCTCGGTCCATACGGGGGTCCCGTGAGGAGACTGCAGGAGGCCCGTCGGGACTGCCGGCTGTGAGGGGCCGTCTGGACGGCCTGGGGCCCAGCCTGCCTGCAGCCAGCGTGCCAGGGGCCGCCTGCCTCCTCCTGCCAAGCACAAGCTTCCTGCAAAAGGACCCGTGGGCTTCCTCTTGACCACAGGCTTCTGCTGACTGACAATACCCTAAATTTTGTTCTATTAAATACTCTTGAATGTATTAAAAGTGTTGTAACACATCGGCTTGGGCTTTTCTGGGTCACCATGAACAGGACACTCACTGCTTCCAGGGTCTGGCTGTGCCGGGAGGACAGCTGACCCCGGAGCCCACGGGCGAGGAGGTGTCCCGGGGCCTGGGGGGGGTCCGTGTTGGGGGGGCCGGCCGTCTGCCTGCGTGGCGGGAGGCACGGCCCGGGCAGGTGCTGCTCTGCTTGGGGAGGGCCCCTTGAGGCTTGGTGGGTGATTGTAGAAGTATATCTCAGAGATAATCTTGAGAATATATAAAATTATAAAGAAAAAAACCAGCCACCTCTACTCATCACAGTGCCCAAGCAGTCAGCCTTTCTTCCTCGTGTGGAGGGACTGACCCCACGGCCCAGCTGCGTCACCTGGCACACGGAGCGATCCTGTTGGTGAGGGGTGACGTGAGCACCCCTCCCAGGTCAGGGCCTCGTCTGGGGAGGCTCGGAACCCCGTCTGCTGCTGCTCTGCCAGAGGCTCTGTGCTGCACCCGGGCCCTGCTTGAGGCGGCCGGAGGGGAGGCACCACCCCGGACCCCGGGCAGTGAGGGGCAGACACCCTCCTGCTGCTGTGCCGGCCGCCTCCGTGGGGCTGGGGGGTGGGGGGCGCCCCGGGCTCGGGGAGGCCTGGTCATCTAAGGGGGTCCCTCAGTGGGGGCTCCGAGCCCACAGGCCCCGGGTTCTGTCGGGGGCCCAGGTCGCTGGGAAAGCGCTGACGGCGTCGCGAGCTCCAGGCTTCCTGGCTCCAGGCCTGCCCCGCGTGGGGTGCGGAGGAAGGGCCAGGAACTGGGGGGCTGTGGGGGAGGTGTGGGGGGCTCTGCCTGCGGGCTGTGCCAGGCCCAGGGCTCTGGGGCCCCCGGCTGGCGACGTCTGCATCGTGTGTACCCAGGGTGGTCGGGGTTCCAAGGAGGGAGCCACCATGAGCTCTGGAGCCTCGGCGGGCAGACCAGGAGGGCCGGGAAGGGGCCTGGGGCCACAAGTCACCAGCACCCATCAGGCAGGACGTGGGGACACCCGGTCACCCCCAGGTCTGCGTGCATCTCCCGGGAGGGGCCGCCTCTGCAACAGGGTAGGCCCCGGAAGGGCCCCCATGGACTCTGCCCCCCGTGAAGCGCCGTGGGGAGCTCCCTGGCCACTGCTGTGGGCAGTGCCCGAGCCGCGGTCATTTGGGACGAGGCCCGGCTGCACCTGGGCCTCAGGTTCCCCGCCCACCGGGATGCGCCCAGATCCGCCAGAGGCACTGTTCCCGGAGCGCTCACCTGGGCCGGGCCGGGGCTGGGGCCGGGGCCTGCAGCCGCCTTGGGCTGGTGATGGGGAGCCACCTCCCGTGTCTGCTCAGGGCCTGGGAGCCCGAGCTGCAGCCCTGCGACGCCCCCGCCTCCACAGTTCCAGAGCCTCCCCCTTGCAGAGGAGGACTTGGCGGGCACTCGGGGCGGCCTGGCAGCTCTTGGGACCCTGGCCCCAACATCTTTGGGGTGCTTCACCCCACGTCTGGCCTTCCGCTCCTGGTGCGGCCCCAGAGCCGGCCCAGGTGGGGGCCAGAGGCTGCGCAGGTGCATCCTGGGCGGGAACACAGCCTGTGGGAGTGGGCTGGGGCGGGGCGCCCAGCTGGCCCCCCGCCTGGCCTGAGCAGCTGGGCCCGGACGGAAGGAAGGGTGGGTGCCCACAGCTTCCACAGGCTGGCGCAGGGCTGGGTAGGAATGCCACGGCCCACGAGGGCCTGCTGGGCACCCCACCCCCGTCACCTGGGTGCGGCCGCGGGCGTGCTTGCGGGGCTCCCCCGGCCTGGCCCGGACCCGGAGGAGCGCGCTCGAGGCCCACGGTGGCAGGCAGCGAGGATCGCCACAGGGAACGTGAGACCTGCTGAAGAGCCCCTCTGCCTGCCTCCTGTCCACTCTGGGCAGAGGCTTCACTGGACTCAGAGCTCGTGGCAAATGTCACAGGACCAGTGGGGCAGACCCCCACCCCTCCCGCCTCTGCCAGGAGGCTGCGGCCCCTGCCGTTTCCAGGGCAGGTGGGTTCCAGTGCCTGGGGAGCTGGCTCTAGGGCTGGAGTCCCACCGGGCCTAGCCGACCGCCCCCGTCTCGAGGACACGGCTACCCCAGGTCTGGGGCACCTACGCAGAGGAGGGGCTTCCCTCTGGGCCCCGCAGGTGAAATCCGAAGGCTTTGGCCCTCTGGCTCATGGGGCTGTCTTCAGCCCCTGGGCACTGGCTGGGGCCGGGCCACACCTGCGGAGGTCTGGGCAGGAAGGCCTTTGGGCCCTGGAAGGGAACTGGGGGCTCCCGCTTGTGGGTGAGCGTGACCTGGGGTCAGCTGAGTGTGGTCCCCACCTTATGAACCCCGCTGACCCATCTGGGCCCCCAGGCGACTCTCAAACAACTCCCTGGATGTCTGCTGAGTGAGGATTTGAGTGAATTCGGGCCCATGGCGTGGGCGGAAGGCTTTTGTCCCCCTGTAGGAGTTTGTCCCACGGGAGGGCCTAGAAGCCAGGGAGGGAAGCCGAGGGCCCGGAGGGTGCTCCTTCGTCGTCTGACAGCTCCGGGGGCAGCAGGACAGAAAGACAACAGCCCTGCTCTACAGGTGAGGTGAGGGGCCCCCCAAAGCCGGCAGGGGAGGTGAGTGCAGGGGAGGGGGAGAGGGAGCCCGCTGCGCTGGACCGGGTGGGCTGGGAGTCGGGCAGGGGGCTGAGCCAGGGCGGGGTCACGGGGACGCGCTCCCGCGCCTCTCCGCCCCCCCCCACCCCCGAGATCTCGGGGTCCCATCCTGCTTCCCAGCACTCCTCCTGTGCCTCCCTGGGCCCGGGGAGGGGGCCACTGGACATCAGCGGAGACGGGAGCAGGGTCCCCGCTGGCTGAATGGGGCTGGGGATGAACTGGGAAGGCTGCACTCCTGCTTCCCTCCCTCGCTTCCCCTGAGCCTGTGGGCTTGCTGCAGAGACAGCTACCCCCCCAACCCGGACTCCACCCAGGGGGCCAACAAACAGCGCCCCCACCCTGCGGTTCCTGCGAACGTTTGGCAGCGACACCCCGGCCTCAGAGCGGCTTGTCCTGCTGTGCTCAGAACTGGGGTGGCCCCGTGTCTGTCCAGAGTCAGGGTGGAAGGGGGGTCCCCTTGAGTGGCTGAGCTGGAGACGGATGGATGTGGGGCGTTCCCATTCGGAATCGCACAACCCTGGATCTGTGAGGCAGGCAGACGGAGGACTCCCCGGGCGTAGAGTCTGAGATCCCAGGGGGTCGAGGAGGCCGAAGGTGACTCCTCCTCCTTTTGCTCAGAGAAGTTGGGGAGGGGGAAGGACCTGACCTGGGGAGGGCTCAGAGGGGTCACTGGAATGCGGGCGGCTCCTTAGAGACCAATCTTGGACCAGCGCACTGCCGGCCAGACTCGGGAAGCGCGGGCAAGGCTGGGGACCAGCCGCAGGACCCTGGTTTGAGGCTGAGCTTTCTCCTTCCGGAGCGGGCGCCGTAGAAAGGGCCGAGGGCATCAGGCACAGGGCACTTCCCGTTGGCGATACGGTGACCGGGGGCTGGCGCGCCCCGGGGCTTCGCGCAGGAGGGGAGCGAGTGCGGGCCTGCGCCCCGGGCCGAGAGAATCGTCGGAGGGGACGAGGCAGGTGGCCTGAGCGGACGCGGGAGCCGGGAGCGTGGAGGGCGCGCAGAGGGGAACGAGCCGCCGCACGAGGCACCCCAGGCTCCGCGCACGGCGGGGCGGGCGGGCGGCGGGGCGGGGCGCGGACCGCGCGGGGCTAGAAGTCGCCGGCGGGGGGAGCCCGCGGGCGGAGTCGGAGCCCCAGCGACGCCGAGACCGCGGGCGCCGGCTCTCGAGCAGCAGGTCAGTGGGGGCCCCGGATCTGGGGTCGCAGGCGGGCGGCCAGGGTCATCGGGCCGGGAGCGCGGGCGGCGCAGGCCCCCTCCTTCAGTTGCGCGGCCGCTGCGTCTCTTCCCGCCGCTCCGACAGCTGGTTCGAGGGCTGGGGTCCGCGCCCCGCCGGCGGCGGGAACGGCGGGCGCGGGGGCGGCTCGGGCGCGCCGCCGGCTCCCCAGCGCGGTCGGGGGCGCTGCGCGGACTCCTCCGGACCGTCCCCGGGCTGGACCGGAAGGCGCGCGGGGCAGGCGGCGAGGGGAAGGGGCTAGAGCGCGCGGCCCCGGCGGCAGGGGCGGGGGCGGCGCGGTGCGCCCGGGCTCCGGGCCCTCGCCGAGCCCTCGGGGGGCGCAGAGGCCGGCTGGAGCGCGGCGGGAGGCCCCCGCGGGCCGGGACTTCCACCGGCGGAGCGCCCGAGCGTCCCGGCGTCCCGGGGAGGCTGGGTGAGCGGACGGTGTCCGAGCGCCTAGGGCGCGGCGAGGGACGGAGCTGAGCGCCGGCTGAGCGCGGGCGCGTCCGGTGGGCGCTGGTGGCGGGAACCGGCCTCGGGGGCCCGCCCCGGGGGAGGCCGGGGTGGGGACCGTCCTGGAGGCCCGCCGGGGCCGCCCTGAGCCGAGGCGGGACTGGCGGGAACGGTGGCGGCCCTCGAGGGGCTTGGCTCCGGGTGCCCAGGGGATGGGTGGGGGGGGCTGGCCCGGGCCAGCGAGCGGAGATGTCTGCGCTGGGGCGTGGCCACCGCGCGGTAGACTTCAATTTCCCCGACTGTACAATGGGAGGAAGGCGGGGGCCGAGGGCTCCGCGGGGGAGAGGAGAGAAGCTGGGAGCGGAGGGCGTGTCCCCACCCCCTTTTCTCTGGACGCAGCTGACCCCTGGGGGACGGCGGGGCTGGCCCCCTGAGCCGGCTCCCCTTCCCCATTTCAGGCGACCCCGAGCCTGCGTCCACCCGCGGGATCTGTGCCCCTTTCCCGCGGGGATCCCAGGCTGCCCCCCCTCAGCCTCTGCACCGTCCCTTAGATCCTCCATGTCACTGCCAAGCCCAACCGGGCTGCCCCCCGGGTGTCCGGCCCAGGGCCCGCGGTGGACAGTTCTTAGGCGCACAGCAGGCCGGGCAGGTGGGGTGGTGTTGGGGGCTCCTCCTCCTGCGGTGGGCTGGAGAGGCTCTGCCCCCCGGGGCCAGGCCCCATCCCAAGGTGTCCGCTCCTCCTCGCTCCGCCCAGGTCCTCTGGAGGTCCCCGGGCTCTCCCAGGTCCCGGATGTCTCCTGGACCACTGGCCCGTCCCCTTAGAGCAGACCGTATTCTGGGCTGACCCGGCCTCCCTCTTCAGTGCTTCGGGAAAGCGGAGGACTCCCCGCACACGGCCGGTGGGAGACAGGACTTTGGCCAGGTGAGTGTTTGTGGGCTTGCACGCTTCCTTTCTCACGTGGGCCTGGGACATGCAGGTCCCCAGCTGTCCCCCAGTCTGCCCCCTAGGAGTCCGCAGCTCACAAGGGCTGTGGGCGGCTTCAGGGGCAGCCGGGATTGCGAGGCCTAAACATCCAAACGTTCTGGTCTGGATCCACTCACTGGGCTTCCTTCCCCGGCCAATCTGCCTTCTCATCCTGTGAAACACGCGGGATGGTGTGCGCAGGGCTTCGGGTTTGGGGCTGTGGGGCGGGGGTGGACAGATCGGGGCCTGTGCTTGAGCTGGGAAGCCCTGGGGAGAGGCTGTTAGGCTTGCGGGGCTGGGGAACCCCAAGAGACCCAGAGCCCCAAGGTCTCTCATCACAAGAGACCACTGTCAGCAGAGCACCAGGTGGACGAGCGGCAGGTGGGGAGCAGGCACTGGCTCCCGGGCATCGCACCCTGCGAACTGCGGGGCCCCCGAGGCAGTGTCCACCGTGCAGGGCCGTGGCTCTGGGGCTCACGGCACTGATGTGAAAGCTGCCAGCAGCTCTCGTTCCATCTAACCTGCCTGACTCCCAAGACCCCTGCCTCTGTGAGCTGGGACTGGTCTTATGGGCTGTGCTGTCTGCTGAAATCTCTGCACCCGTGAGAGTCCAGGGCAGCAGGGCCAGAGGGCAGGCAAGGGCTTGAAGGCTGACTTGAAAAGATGTTCTGGGAGGTGTGTGTGTTCGGCGACCCCGAGGAGACCCCTTCTGAAGCTGAGCTTCTGAAGGATGAGCTCCAGCCCCTGGGCCTGGGGAGTGCAGGCGGCCCCAGGAGGGTTTGCCCTGGAAGTTGAAGGGATGGCAGGAGCTCGGAGCTGCGATGCTGGGAGAAGCCCTCCTGGGAGATTGCTCCCCTCCCAGGCAGGGTTGGGAGGAAAGTGGCCGGGGTCCCCCCATAGCCTCCCCCAGTCATGGGAGGGCCCCCCGGGCATGGAAGCCACAGGATCCTGACAGGGGTGGGAGGGGCTGGGTGGAGGGGGGCTGCCCTTGCTCTAGGGGCAGAGGGGATGAGTGTCAGGAAGGCAGGGTGCTCCAGCTTTCCAGGCCCCCCGCCGAGCCTTCCCTGACGCGCCTGAGCCGCGCCTGTCGCCGGAGCGCTCTTCCAGACGGTCCCGGCCTGCACCCGCTCCTGCGGGACAGGCGTGCGTGAGAAGTTGCTGGGCAGGGTCCTGCAGCTCCAACCTCAGTTGCCACCCCCGTCGGTCCAGCCGTTCGTCCCCGGGAAGAGAGATGGCCTTGGGGTGTGCCAGGCAGAATCAGGCGGGGGCCACCCGGGTGCCTCCCCTGCCGGCAGGGCAGTGGTTTCCACGCTGACGCCTCCCAGGTCTGCCCATCTTTGCAGGAGGGTTCACCTCTGGCCCCTCAGTAGCCTCTGCAAACCCCAGGCGGGCATGGGGGGCCACTGAGGGGTCAGGGAGCCGGCCACTCTGGCCCACCCACCCCCATCCACCCACAGAGCTGCGTCAGCACCTCTCCATGCCTCGGGCCCGGAAGGGGGTCTGCCTCCCCCCATCCCCCATGTGGACGCCTCCGAGAGCCCTGGGCACTGCCCCTTGAGCAGGCCAGCCCCCCGCCAGCTCCCATGCCAGGCCCCCTACAGTCTGTCCCCATTTGGAAAGCACCCCGCCACCTTGCTCTCTTCAAGCACAGGAGCCGGTCTTGCCAGTTGATTCACCCGGAAGGGGTCTGGGAGCCAAGACCCCCCAGGGATGACCCCCCAGGGATGACACCCCTGGCTCGGGTCTCGGAGCGTGGGCTGGAGGAGTGGGCACTCAGGGCCCTGTGTGAGGAGTGGCCCCTTGGAGCGGGGTGTCAGGGGAGGTGGCCAAGGGGCACCATCTGAGGCTGGGGGCCGGGCCCGCAGCCTGTCCGGCGTCTGGCCTGGACACCAGGGGACGGAGAGGTGGCCCGAGGCCCCCAGCAGGGAGACGGGCCCTGTATGTGGCCCCAGGGCCTGCTGTGGGGAGGCCCCGTGGGGCGGGGGCCAGTGCAGGGAGCGCCCTCAGCCCTGTCCCTGCCCACATCCTGCCCTCAGGCTCCGAGAGCAGCGGCTGCATCCCCAGGGGCCCTGGGGGAGGGATCGCTGGCCGGTGCCCGCTTGGGGACTGCAGCTGCACCCCTGGGGGAGGGATTGCTGGCCGGTGCCCGCCTGGGGACTTGCCATGCCGATTCCTCGGGCTGGCAGCCCCGCAGGGCTGGAGAGAAGAGGCCCCCCGGCTCCTCCAGGCAGCGCTGGAGTCACTGCTCTGCTGGTGGGTTTGGAGAGGGGCCTGGCAGGTCCCAGGACCCTGGGGGCTTGAGGGAGGCTCGTGCCCAGACTCAGGGTCCCCCAAAGGACAGCGAGGGGCTCACGGTTGGAGAGAAACCAGCTGCCCAGCTGTCTCTCCCGCTCTTGCTGCCCACCAAGCCCCCTCCGTGAGACAGATGTCGGCGTTGCCACCTTCAGGCTCTCGACTGCCTGCTCTGTGAGGCCTGGGCGATGATTCTCGGTGTGTGCTCACACCCCTGATGTTCTCAGCTCGTGTGCACGCCGCACGCCACGCTGTGTGCCTCTCGGCCCTTCTGTGCTTCACTTCCAGGGTTTCATTTCTGGCTCGTGTATGCCCGTCCTTCTCAGGGATTCTTGTTCTTCTTTAGGGATGCCTTTCCTTTCTTGCTCTGAAGACCCCAGGTACCTTTGATCGTCATTTCGGTTACTGGATTGCCTCCATCTCTTCTGGAATGAATCAGCCTGTGTTTTGGCCACCGGTTGCTCATCTTTCTCACCCTTAGTTTTCCTCCTGTGCTTTGAAACTGCGCTTTGCAGCCTCTCTGAGCGGACCTGAGGTCTTGGAGGTGGGGCGTGACCCGCACACCGGGGTGGGCGGCAGCTCTCGGGAAGGCCTCCCGGGACCACAGCGCCTTAAGACCCCAGCCGTGGGCTCAGGCCGGGCAGCAGCTGGCACCAGGCTCCCTGGGCTCCGGCAGACGGGGTGCTGCTGGGCACGGGGTCAAGTTCTCGGAGACACTTGCTGAGAACGTGGTGGAGGGGTCTCAGGCTGGGGCTCTGGAGCCTGGGAAGAGGCCCGGCGTGGCTGCGACAGGCCAGGCAGTACCCCGGCCTGCGCGGTCCTCGGAGGCAGGTGTAGGGAGCTGTGTGCTCGCTGCCAGATGCTCCGTCCAGCAGGCCCTGGGGGGGCCACCCGCCATCTGGGTGTGTGTACAGAAAGCCTCACCGGTGGGACGGACCAGGAGCCGGGAAGCGTGTGGGTTGTGATTACACAGAGGTTTTAATCAGAGTGGCCAGGCTGGTGAGGGTAAGGAGGAAGGCTGGATGGAGCCTGTCTGCCGGGGAACCCCGTGGGGCTGCCCTCCCCAGGCTCAGCATGCTGCTTCCCCGGCACGTGACCCTGGCCTGCCATGGATGGCTTCTGCCCTCTGCCCTGTCCCTGGCCGGCGACAATCACAAGGAAATGCTGCATCATTAATACGTAATTGCCCCTCCTGGCTAGCGACAGATGACTCGAGGATTAACTAGGGACAACAGAGAGGGATAGGAAGTTGCCAGATCTGGGTCCCAGCCCCAGCCCCGGGCCCCGGGGCCTCTGACCTTCCTGTGGCTCTGGGAAGCCTCTGGAGGCGGGGCTACGGGGAGGTGCCCAAGGCCCCAGGAAGCCTCCTTGCTGGCATTTTCCACGGGCATTTCCCCAGCAAGGCTCATGGGGGCCCCTAGGCCCCTGCAGCCTCCTTTCCTGAGCTCCCCAGCAGGCCTCCCGAGCCTGGGCTCTGGGGTGGAGCCCGGGGGGTGGTCCCGGCGGGGGGACACAGTTCTGGGTGGTCAGCGGGGGGCTGGAGCCTGGTTCTCCCGAGCTGTGCACCTTGATTCCCGGTTCCTGTCAGTGACACAGGAGCAGCTTGAAACAGGCCGTCACGGGAGCACTGATACCCATCAAAGTCCGGCAAAGGGCCCAGGCTGACTTGCGGTCTGACGGCCGGGATGCTGCGGCCGCCTCCAGCCCGCCTGCCCCGGGCGCCCCTCGCGCACCCTGCTGGGCGCTGGAGGGCCAGGTCTGGCCAACGCCCGGTGGTCCGTGTGGCCGGGGCTGTGCTCGCAGCTGCGGGAGCCCGACGGGAGCCCGGGGCACAGGGGCGTGCTGGCTCCGCGAGAGTGGACCTGGGAGGGAGGGCGCCCCCGGCCACCGGTGGACGGCAGGAGAGTGGCTCCAGCTTGGCCCCAAGTGCCGTGAGGCCTGGGCAGCCCGGGTGCAGAAGGTGATGGGGACGCCCTGCAGATTAGAGGTCCCGGGGGGTGCTCACCAGAGGGCTTGGCTTAGGGGTCCCGAGGCCCTTCTGGGCCAAGCATCCTGGCTCTCGTGGGGTCAGCCAACATCCACACACAGGTGCTGGCTGTGTTCCCCCATCACTGGGGCTCCAGGCAGTGGGCCCAGACAGTCCAGCTTCAGCTCCCCAGAAACTCTTGCTGGCCCCAGGACGCTTGGTCTGGGAGGTGGTCCCAGCAGAGTCAGGCTTCCAGTGTGGGCCGTGCACCGCCAACGCAGCTTCCCCTGGAGGAGCCGAGGCAGGGCATGAAGGATGGCAGGGGGTCGGCAGGAGGCCGGCGGCTCACTGGTGGGGGGACACAGGTCCCCGGGGCCCGGCGCTGGACCCGGGAGGCCCCCCAGAAGGGAGCCTGCCCCTTCGCTGCGGTGGGAGGACGCGAGACCTGGAGGCGGGGCTTCAGTGTCAGGCGCCCCAGGGGATTGCTGCTCCTGGCTGCTGACAGAAGCAGCAAGGGACACCGCGTGGCCCGAGGCGGCACCAGGAGGGTCGGTCTGCCCCATCTCTGCTGCTGGCCAGCACGTGCCGTGTGGGAAGCAGGGGCTCGGTGGGACACCCCGCAGGCTGCAGGGGCCCCTCGGTTTGTCGGGGGCCCTGCCTTCTCTCTCCTGCTCTGTGTCACGGGGTGACCACCACCGGCTGCAACCGCCGGAAGTGGGGGGCGGTCAGAAGGAAGCAGGGGGATCCTCTGTCGCGGCGGCACAGCACCTCCTGGACGGGGTGAGGGGACCCGGCCCTCTGAAAGCAGCCAGGGGCCACGAGCAGCCTTCTCCCAAGGTGGGCTGTCCATCTGATCCCTCGCAGCCTCGAGGAGAGAGGGCGGGGCAGCTCCCAGCCCACGTGCGGGCACCTTCGGGCTTCCTCTCCCCGTGGCCCGCGGCCACCACTGGCTGTGTGCACCTGGAGCCCCGGCAGGGGAGCTTTGGGCGGGAGGAGGGTGGACTTGGCACTGGGGACCCTGCCGGGCGGCATGAGGGAATGTGACCGGGAAGCAGAGGTGGCGGAAGGAGGCCTCTGAGTGGCGGGGGGAGGGGGGACGTTCCACCAGCTCAGGGGGTCCCTGGGAGGCGGGCTGCTTCTGCAGAGTGCCGTCCCGGATTCTTGACACCAGGGTATTTTGACTCTGGGCGGGGGGCTGTTTCACGCGTGTTCGTTTTCTGCGCATAGAATCACGGGGGTCCAGCCTCCCCCGTGTCAGTGGGGAGACCGAGGCCCGGACAGGTACAACAGTTGCCGGTGCCCCCGGTCCGGGCCGAGCACCCCCGCGGGTGGAGGAGGGGCTGGGAGCGGGCGTGGGAGGAGGCAGCGGGCGGGGCTGAGGAGCGCCCCGCCCAGACGCGCAGCAGCGGGCGGGGGCTGCTGGGGGGCGGGCCCCCTCCGAGCGCTCCAGCACCGCGGCTGCACTCCCAGTGGGGCGCCCAGCGGTGGGAGCCTCTGGGCAGCTTCTGGCTCTCAAGGATGGAGCCAGCCGGCTGAGCAAGGAGGGTGGTCCCGGCAGACCCAGGGGTTTCCAGGGGAGGGGTGGCGGGGCTGCCACAGAAGGCTCGAGAAGCGAGCTGAGCCCGGGGTTGGGGGGGGAGCACAGAAGAGACTCACCTCTGCGAGGTCTTGGTTTCTCTGGGAGAAGACTCAGGCTGACCCCCGCCTTCCGGGAGGGCCGGGGCACGGTGGGTCGTCCTCGGGCCGACGCCTGCCTGGCGGGGGTGGGGGGCAGGCGGCTGCCCGTGCCCCGAGATCCAGCTCCTCACGAGCCTTCTCTCTTGGCAGGTGTCTCAGGACCTGAAGCAGAGCTGAGAGATGCCGCCGGAGCGCCTGGAGGGGGCCTGCCTTTTGGAGATGCGCCGTGGGCGGTGAAGAGTGCTGGGGGAGCCCCCCGACTGACGGCAGGGTCACCCGGCTCCTGCGGAGAAGGGGTCGGGGCCTGGGCGGGGCCGGCCGCGCCGCAGCTATGGACCGAGCGCTGGCGCGGCCCGCGTCCTCGCTGAGCCCGCCCGCCGGCCACCGCGCGCGCCATGTCCGGCTTCGCGGTGTACATCGCGGTGGAGCTGGCCATCGCCGTGCTGGCCATCCTGGGCAACGTGCTGGTGTGCTGGGCCGTGTGGCTCAACAGCAACCTGCAGAACGTCACCAACTACTTCGTGGCGTCGCTGGCCGCGGCCGACATCGCCGTGGGGGTGCTCGCCATCCCCTTCGCCGTGACCCTGAGCACCGGCTTCTGCGCCGCCTGCCACAGCTGCCTCTTCTTTGCCTGCTTCGTCCTGGTGCTCACGCAGAGCTCCATCTTCAGCCTGCTGGCCATCGCCATTGACCGCTACATCGCCATCCGAATCCCGCTCCGGTGAGTCCTGCTCCCAGGGGTGCCTCATGCAGGGCCGCACCCATGAGGGGCTGTGCCGGGGGTCAGGGTGAACTCAGGGGTCAGGGTGAGCCAGGGTCAGGGTGAACTCAGGGTCAGGGTGAACCAGGATCAGGGTGAACCAGGGGTCAGGGTGAACCAGGGTCAGGGTGAACCAGGATCAGGGTGAACCAGGGGTCAGGGTGAACCAGGGTCAGGGTGAACCAGGGTCAGGGTGAACTCAGGGGTCACGGTGAACTCAGGGGTCACGGTGAACCAGGGTCAGGGTGAACTTGGGGGTCACAGTGAACTCAGGAGTCAGGGTGAACCAGGGTCATGGTGAACTCGGGGGTCAGGGTGAACTCAGGGGTCACGGTGAACAAGGGGTCAGAGTGAACTCGGGTCACAGTGAACCAGGGGTCAGGGTGAACTCGGGGGTCATGGTGAATTCGGGGGTCAGGGTGAGCTCAGGGGTCAGGGTGAATTCAGGGTCAGGGTGAACTCAGGGGTCAGGGTGAACCAGGGTCAGGGTGGACCCAGAATTGGGGTGAACTCGGGGGTCAGGGTGAACCCGGGATCAGGGTGAACTCGGGGGTCAGGGTTTGGTCTGGTGTCAGTGTGTTGAGCCGGGGACGGGGCCGTGGGGCTACCCAGGGCTTGGCACGGCCAGCAGTTGTGTGACGCCAGCTGATCGCCGTGGGCGTGGGCCGGGCTGGTACCCCCAGGGGTACCTGGGAGAGGCTGCCGTGCTGCAGCTCCTGGTGACCCGTGTGTCCAGGCCCGGGGTGGCTGCATCTGAGCCTCCCCTCACGCAGCTGATGCTGGGGTGGGGCAGGCCCCACGGGAAACCACAGGGCCCCGCTGGAAGCAGCCTTCTTCCAGCCCCTCCGGGCCAGCCTGCAGTTTGCAGTTAGGGAAATGACCCCGAGGGGAAGTGACTTGGCCAGATGCCTGTGAGTCACTTGGACCTCTATGCAAATTGTGTTTCTCAGTCACTGGGTGCTTTCCTGGTGAAACTTGTGAAATGACTTCAGGCAAGTGTTGTGGAAACAAAGACTCTCTCCGAGGCTGAGTTCACTGAAATGCAGCCTCCACCCACACCACCACCACCCTGGCTGGGCTAGGAAGCGCCCCTCCCCACCTCACCGCTGACGGAGTCCGGGGCTTCGGCCCTGCCTCCCTGCCCCTCTGTTCCACGGCGGCAGGCCCAAGGGAGGTGGTGAATGCGCACAGGTGGCGCCTACTTCCGGAGCAGCCCCACGCTGGGCTGAGGGCGCCCCAGCCGGCATGGGGCAGAGGCTCGATGAGCAAGTGGAAAGGGTGTGTGTGAAATCCGAGGGCGCGCTTAGAGGTCGTTTGCTCTCATCATGCGGGTGGGAAAGCAACGGAAGCGTCAGCACCCGGGGCCACGCTGCAAGCTGGCAGCATGGCAGGACCGGGTCTGGGAAGGAGCACGCCTGCCGCCGGCCCCCTGGTCAGGCGGCTGTTACTGCCCCCGGGGGTCTTGGGGGACAGCAGACGCCCGCGTCCCGCGAGAGCCTAGGACCCTCGTCAGAAGGAAAGGCGACCCCGGCCCTAACCGAGGACCAGCCTGAATGGCAGGTTGGAGTCCAGGCTGGTCCAGGACACAGAGGTTGGTCTGACTGACGTCCCCTTCCAGGCCAGGGCCGCTGTGGCCCTGATTCAAGCAAGGGACAGCGGGTCTGGGGGCGATCAGGGCTGCTGATCGCAACAGAGAGGCCCATGGCTTCTTTTTCTTGTCTGTTCTCTGAGACTCAGAAGTCCCAGCCTCCCTCCCTGGTGCAAGTGGGTGGCCCGCGCGGTGTGACGGTGGGGAGTCCGCTGCCCCTCTCTGGGCCCGTTTTTCATCGGTTCCAGGGGCCGGGTCTCTAGCCCTTGGCGCTCACGAAGGTGTTTCGAGGGCCCAGTGAGTGGACTGGAGTGGCGGGGCCCTGTGGGAGGATGGGGATTCAGGCCTTTCGGAAGCTGCTGGAGGCTCAGAGCTGTGGGCCTGGCCACCCCTCCCCAGCCCTGCCTGCCTCCCGGGCCCTGTGACCTTCAGGAATGGGGCCTAGTCCCACCCCGACCTCAGCCATCTGAGCTCCATGAGGCAGGGCTCTGGAGGGGCCGGCCTGGCTCCCGGGTCAGGCAGCCGTGGGCTGACGGTGGAGGTGATGTTCGTCCCTCCGGGGCTGGGCACCACCACCGCCAGAGGATGTGAACTCACGTCTCCGCTCATCCCCGGCCGGCGACATGGCCGGCGGCAGCTGTGACCCTCCTGTTGCCCAGGAGGATGGCAGCAGCTGCTCCGAAGGAAAAGTGTCTCCTGGCCCTAGGACACAAGGGCCCTGGGATGCCAGGGCCAGGGGACATGGCGTGGGACGCTGTCTGCTGGGGCGCCCGAGAACAGGCTGGGCGTGAGGGGGACGAGACAGAGGCAGGCGGGACCTGGAGCTCCTGGCAGCTCTGGGGCCGCTGCCCGGCTCGGGACGCCCGTCCCTGCCCTCTCCAGCGGAAGCCAGCCCAGCCCGTGTGCTGTTTCCTGCTCCGCTCAGGAGGCCCGCTGGCTGCTCTGAAGTCCAGCCTCTGACGATGCTCTAAGGTGCCCGTCCCCAGGCCCGCACCATTCACCGTTAATTTCTCTTTAAAAAAAGAATAATGCAGCTTCAGAAAGATTTCCGTGCGCCTCCTGTGTGCACGGGCCCTGCTGAGCGAAGGCAGAGCCTGCTCAGAGGTGGGGACGGGTGCACTCTGCGTCCCCAGCGGACAGACTCCTGGGGGCACTTCAGGGCTGCCTCCCTCCTCTCTCGTCAGCCCCCGGCGACCGCTCTCTCCAGACCCGGGGAGCAGCCTCCCGTGGGGCCGCAGAGTCCCGGCCTGGGTGCTGGATCGCCCCAGAGGGCAGACCCCAGCACCCTGGCTTCTGAGTGGGCGATGGAGACAGTGCTCCCCGCAGGGCATGACGCCGAGCCTGCTGGGGGCGCACCGGGGGATGCGTGCCGGTGTGGGGGGGTAGGTGTAATGGGGGTCCCGCTTGGACAGACGCCCCGGGGAAGGAAGGAGTCTGTGGACGGGCCCTGGGCAGGGAGAGGGGACAGGTGCACGGCCCATGGGGCTTGTGAGGCGGCTCAGGCCTGCCCGCACCTGGGAGGGAGGGTGGGTTTCAGCCGTGGGCCTCGGCGCCTTTGGATGACTGGGGAGAGCTCTGCTTTCTCCTGACTGAAGGGCAGATTGGCACTGAGTCCCACCGAGAACTGGGCGGTATGATGGGTCACAGGGTAAGCCCCCAGTGGGAGAGATAGGGGCCCCCAGGACCGCGCAGCGCTGGCTGGCTTGGGCACACCCCCGCCCAGCAGGCAGTCTGTCTGAGGCCCCGAGGGGCAGGACGAGACCGCCTCGGTCACAGACACAGCCCAGGGGCTGCCACTGGGCCAGGCTGGGGCGCGGTCGTGGCGCCCCATTTGAGCCCAAATGTTGACCCGGTCCCCTGGGAGCCTGGGTCCAGGGCTCTCGGCCTAAGAGGCTTTCTTTTGAGTAACAAGATTAATCTGTCTGGGCGCTCCTTAAATAAGAACTGCATGTATTAAAACATCAAAAGGCAGAGAAGCAAGCCCGGTGAGGAGCTGGGCCCTCGCCCCCCGCCCCGCCGCCTTCCGGGAGGGCGGGGCCGGGCCTCCTCCAGACATCCTCTGCCCAGACGCGTGCCACGGGTGTCTGCTCCTGTCCCCAGGAGGGGCTTCCTTCCAGCCTGCAGTGGCAGACGTCCTCTCCTGGGTTTCCGCGTCTGCATGGAGACAGCTGGACAGCACGGTCTGTTTAACCCGTGTCCCCAGCAGCCGTCACGCTGGGCCCCAGGCTCACTCAGGGAACGTCAGTAAGCCTCGTCCCCCTCAGCAGCTGCGCGCTGGGACTGCAGGTGAGAAGGCTGGCCTCTGCTTGGTTGCCTCCAATGGCAGGAGGCTCACTCCTGCCCAAGGCGGCCCGTGTCTCCTGTGAACAGCTCCCTTACCCTGAACCCACCTGCCTGTGGTTTCCACCCACTGACTCTCCGTTCTGCCCTCACGGGACAGCGCTCCAGGCCCCGCGTTCTGAGTCCCATTTTGCAGACGAGGAAACTGAGGCCCAGAGTGACAGAACGTGGCTAAATAGGAACGCACCAACGCTAGAACCCAGAGAGGGGTATGCTTTTCTTCAGAAAAATGTCAGCATTAAAATCGCCTCCTATTCAATGAGATTATATACATTACTGTTTGCAGAGCGCTAGGGACAGTGCCTAGCACACAGCAGGTGCTATGTATGAATTAAACGGGGGAAGAAAAACCTCTGACCTTACACTTGAAGCTGCAGAACTGGAAATAGGGCAGTGTAGACTTTCTGTGGCTTGGGCGAACTGGGCAAGCCCGTGACCTCTTCCTGCCGGAGGCACCCAAGCCCACAGTGACTGGGGCTCCAGAGCTCGGGAGAGTGGGGTCCTGCTCGGGCACTGTCTGGGTCCAGAACTGACAAACTCACCTTGGCCCGAGTAGCCTCTGGACTCCTGGAATGTCTACGGCAAGGCCACGCCGCTCCTGGCGTCTCAGTTTCCCCACCTAGAGGATGAATGGTTAGATGAGAGGTCAGAGGCTACCAGGTTTCCTTTTTTCCTTAGTGTGAGTCAGCTGACAAAATTCACCCACTGGCGATTTTACCCAGAACCGTCAGCTCCCGGCCCCCGGGATCCTGCAGCGCGGGGCAGGCGCGTGTGGCGGTGGGGGGCGCAGGGGTGGCTGAGCGGTGTCTGGAGCCTCCTGCACACTCGGTGACAACCGGCAGCCCGCCTGCCTCGCCCCTTCGTGACCTGCAGGCCCCCCGTGTTTGCTGCCCCTTGAGCTGGTTTCTGTGGAAACTTCTAACCCTGGATTAAGGGAAGCGTGTTTCTCCTCGACACCTATTCCATCCTGTCTCAGTGATGGTCATGCAGAGATGGACTCAGGATCCACGGGGCCCCCAGCCTTGGGAGCCCAGCTTGGGTGGGATTCGTTTAGCTTGATACTCCTCTGGAAAGATAGCTGACCTGAACTTTAAAAGGATGGGTGGGCTTTACTGATAGAGGTGTCGGGGAACCCAACCCCTGAAGCACAGGTCATCCATCGGAACACTGAGGTCGCCCTCCTCAGTCTGGGAGATGAGTTTTCTTGACTGCCTGTTCTTTAAAATCTCTGCCGTCTTTTTTTAAAAATTGATCTATTTGGCTACTCGAGGTCTCTGTGGCACGTGGGATCTAGTTACCTGACTGGGGATAGAACCCAGGTCCCCTGCATTGGGAGCTTGGTGTCTTGGGGCCACTAGGGAAGGCCCTGCCATCTCTTTTCGTTGGCGTCAGCTTCTGGGCCGGCGGGTCCGTCCTCTCCCCAAGTGTGGCCCTCCGGAGTAAGGAGCGATTCGGGCCAGATTACGTCTCCTCCCTGGACCTTACCATCTCGAGCAACTGCGTCCTCTTGAATGTGGAGGCTGCTGTGCAGATGTTAAGACATCCTGACCTCGCCTCTCTCCAGAGGGCTGTGGGTGGACTTGGAAGGGAGATGAGCATCTCATCTGGCCTGGGACCTCCACCCTTCCCCTTCCCGCCTGTGCTACCTGTCCCGGGGGGGGGCAGGGGGGGCTTCTGGGGACCCCCAGGCCAAGTAGGAAATGGACAGCATGGAACGCAGGAGGTGTGATCCCCCGACAGTCTGGATCTGGCAGGTGCTGTCCCCAGCCAGCGAGCAGCCTGCTGGCCATTCCCACGCTCCAGGGAAATCCATTCTAGCGGCGCCTAAGATCAACATGGAGGTTATAACTTCTCCCCTCCCCCTTCCCAAGTCACATTAGTTCCTTCAAACCAAACCAAGTCAAGGACTGCAGGCATCAGAGGACACAGACCGAGAGGCAGGAAGCGCCTGGTCCAAGACCTCTGAGCCGGTGGGCGGGGCGGCGGGGCCGGTTGCCAGCGCGGGGCCCCTCCTACCCGGGTGCCCAGGCTCCTCTCTGAAGCCGGTCCCCTCTCCCCAGGTACAACGGCTTGGTGACGGGCACGCGGGCCAAGGGCATCATCGCCATCTGCTGGGTGCTGTCCTTCGCCATCGGCCTGACCCCCATGCTGGGCTGGAACAACTGCAGTCAGCAGGAGGGCCGGAACGGCTCCCAGGCCTGCAGGGCGGGCCAGGTGGCCTGTCTCTTCGAGGACGTGGTGCCCATGGACTACATGGTCTACTACAACTTCTTCGCTTGCGTGCTGGTGCCGCTGCTGCTCATGCTGGGTGTCTATCTGCGCATTTTCCTGGCGGCGCGGCGGCAGCTGAAGCAGACGGAGAGCCAGCCGCCGCCGCCGGGCGAGCGGGCGCGGTCCACGCTGCAGAAGGAGGTGCACGCCGCCAAGTCGCTGGCCATCATTGTGGGGCTCTTCGCCCTGTGCTGGCTGCCTCTGCACGTCATCAACTGCTTCACCTTCTTCTGCCCCTCGTGCGGCCACGCCCCGGCCTGGCTCATGTACCTGACCATCGTCCTGTCGCACGGCAACTCGGTGGTCAACCCCTTCATCTACGCCTACCGCATCCGCGAGTTCCGCCACACCTTCCGCAGGATCGTGCGCAGCCATGTGCTGCGGCGGCGGCAGCAGCGCGAGCCCTGCAAGGCGGGGGGCCCCGGTGCCCGCGCCCTGGCGGCTCACGACGCGGAGCGCGTGGGTCTCCGCCTCAACGGCCATCCCCCCGGCAGCGTCTGGGCCAACGGCAGCGCCCCCCGGCCCGACGGCCCCGCCCTGGCGCTGCTCAGCGGGTCCCAGCAGGACGTGCGCCTCCCGGATGTGCAGCTCCAGGGCGGGCACCCAGAGTCCCCGGGCCCCAGGGGCCCCCGGGGCAGAGCGGGAGTGTCCTGAGGACCCGCCGAGTCCACCCCTTCAGAAGGGAAGGAACTTTCTCCTCCCACTTGGGAGGACCAGTGGCTCTGGGAGCAGAGTGCATGTGCGGAGACCCCCTTTCTTGTGGTCGGTTCCCACTTTGGACCGAGGAGTGACCCCCGCCGGCTGGGGCAGCATGAAGCCCAGCAGGAAGGGTCTGGGGCCCACGGAGGCGGCCCTGCACCAGGCCAGCGCCAGCCCCCAGCCCCTGAAGCGCCTCCAAGTGCCGCTGAGTCTCCGCAGAGCAGGCCGGCTGGCCTGAGGCTGGGGAGTGGCCCCAAAGGGCACCCTGCCACACTCCTCCTCCCCGCCCCCTCCCCCAGGCTTTCCAAGGGTTCAGAGCTGCTGCGCTTGGCGGTGGCGTTGGACTGTTGTTTTTATTTCCCCAGGAGAAAAGGAAAGCCTGAGGAAACCCTTTTTATTTTACCTTCCCTCCCTGGCTGCTGGCTCTGTTTCAGTCCTGCTGCTAACCTGGCCCCAGGCGTCCCCCACTGCCCTGAGTGGCGGCGCGCGTCCCCTTCGAGGCCGGGGCTTGTAGCCGTGGGGGCCAGGGCACGGGTGCAGGGAGGCAGTCAGGACTGGCCGGCAGGGGTGAGTCTAGGTGGCTCCGAGCCGCCCAGGCAGAGGCCCTCTCTAACTGCTTTGCCTTCTGAAGGGAATATTATTTTGTTGTTTTTGTTGTTTTTTTTCTGAGATAAAATAAAAATGAGCCACATTGTGTTTTAAGCTTGTCCGGTGAGAATGGTGTCTGAGTTCCTTCCCCTGCCCACAGTCAGGCCTACCACACGCCTGTGGGTGTGTGTTGCAGCTGTGAGGTAGACGGCCGGCCTGCCTGTCTGCCTGGGGCCGCGGTGGGTGGGTGGGCTCCAGGGTGCTCCTCTTCCCAGGGAGCAGGCTGTCTGCTTGCAGCAAAATCCACACGTCCATGTGCACCCCAAAGGAAGGAGGCGTCCCCGGGCCCCCTCAGCGTGGGGAGCAGGCTCCTGCCTCCCTGACACCCTTGCTGCCCTCTTCGCCCTCTCCCTGTGGCCGCAGGAATCTGGCATCGATGGGGGGTGTGGATGGAGACTACACTGCCTTCCCCTGGAGTCATCCCCCCACCGTTCCCACTGGGGGTGGTTTCCTGCTCTGACACTGTCTCTGGGCCCTGCCCCCTTCCACCAAGGAGCAGGTGCCCCCCTTCTGTTCTGGAGAAGCCTGGAGCAGGGGGTGGGGGGCGGCCGGGAAGAGCAGGCTGCCCCAGGGAGAGCCAGGCCAGGACTCGAGTCGCAGAGGCACAGGCACACTCAAGGCCCAGATGGAACAGGAGAAGCTGCAGGGGACCCTCACGCAGCCCCAGGAGGACAGGTGACTGGACAGCAGAGAGAGCAGACCCCTCTGAACAGACAGGCTCAGCACCTGTCCCAGCCCTCAGCTTGTAAACGGCAGACGTGAACTGAAAACCCTAGGTTTATCTGACCGTGAAATCCAAAACCTGGATGAACTATTTCAACCAAATCGGAAACTACGAAATCATGCCATGTTCCCACCGCTCTGCTGAAGACAGGAGACCTGATAGCCGCCCGCTCCTCCTTTTTTCCTTGCTCGCTGGGTTGCACTGCTCATCTCCAGTCCTACTGAACAGATGCCTGTGTGAGGACCCCAACCAGGCCGGGCTCGCGGCGGCGGCATCTCACGGGGCCGCCCATCAGAGGTCCTCCGGGCTGGCTGCAGAGAGGGGATGCAGGACGACCCCCGAGACCCTGCCGCAGAGACGCGGGTGGACGCGGATGGTGGCGGTTCCCAGGGGCTCTCTCGGACAGCCAGGACCGGAGCCACAGAGACCGACGCGCGGCCCACCCCACCCACGCCGGCCGCCCCCACCCCGCCCACGCTGGCCTGTGCTGGCTGCGGGCAGGCGGCGGAATGGTGGTCAGCTTGGGGCCTGAGGCGGCCAAGAGCACAAAGGCTGAATCCTCCTGAGCAAGTTGCGGGGAGGCCACGGAGAGACCCGTCCCTCCAGCCTTTAGCGGAGGCCTCGGGGTAGCAAAGGTTTGGGCTGGGGAGGAACAGAGCCGGGCCTCGAGACGTTTCAGGTATGACTGAGCCCCGGGCCCTCGCAGGGGCAGTCCCGGGGTGACGTGACCCTGCCCCCCTGGGGCCCCAGAGGGCCCCGCGCCCTTTCACCACACACGCCTGTGCAGGCTCCCACTGGAAGCCAGGCTTGTATGTGCGTGTACACAGATACAGACGGACGCGTATGTCACGCCCTGGCTGTATAAGAACACACACACGTGTGTGCACATGAACGTGCATACCGTTCACGTACATAAGCAAAGTCACCGTGACAGCAGCACCAGCGAGACGTGAGGCCCGGCCCAGCCCTGAGCCAAGCGGCTGGGGGCCACGTCAGGGCTGCTCGAAGCCCGGGGACCCTCGGGCCTGTCTCGGCCTTTCCCGGGGCCGGGGGTAGGCAGCAGGCCTCCGCAAGCCTGTCCCAGGCACGGGGTTCTATCAGAGTCCAGCCCTCTCTGTGGTGAGTGTCGCCAGGGTTCCCAGGGAAGCCAGTGAGCAGAGCCCCGGCTCAGGCTGCGTCCTGGCGCTTCACTTGCCCCAAGAGAGGCGGGCCCCCTTTCCCCTGAAAAACCTACCTCTGCAACGCTCCCTGTTTGTAGTAAGGCCCTTTCTCTTGCCTGAAACAGCTGGGTTCCCGGGAGCCTACTGTGGGGGGAGGGTGGGCCAGCCCCAGTTATGCATGTAGCAACGGGGGGCAAGCTCTGGAGACAGACCCCGGCAGCGCAGGGATGAGGGCGGCCTGGGAAGTGAGAGGAGACGAGAGGCCACCCCGCGGCCCGCCGGGCTGGGCGTGGGACCCCAGAGCTGGAAGCGGGCCTTCTCAGCTGGGATGGAGAAACAGGAACTCGGGGGCTCATCGAAGCCAGCGGCTTGGGCAGGAGGGATGGCCCGGTGCGGCCTGCCTCAACACCAGGCCCTAAGGGAAGGCGCGTCAGGAAGGCGTTCTGGGCCGAGATCACCTCCTGGCCCGTCACGCACGCACGCACGCCGCCAGCGTGGCCGGTCCCGGGGGCTGTCGCCGTGGTGAGGGCTCTCCCCGAGCTCTGTGCCGGACCCACGCGCTGCCTGAGCTCTGGGACAGCCTGTGCCCCTGGCGGAGGCCGCGTTAGGGGAGAAGGAACGTGGGAGGCCTAAGCTCTGCAGTGAGGCAGGTCGCGCCCTCGGGGCCCCCTCTCCTCTGGAAGGTGGAAAGCGCACTAGCGGAAGTCGGATGACCACGGCCCCCACCTGCCCCACCCCCGCCCCCACCCCAGGGCGCCCCTCACTGCCCCGTTCGCTCCTCACGAGCAGTGGCTGTCGCGGTGGGACAGCCCGTCGGGCTGCAGGGCTGGGAGGGGGCGGGAGAACGTCGGATGACTTACAGACTCTAAGGAGAGGGCTGGACGCGCAGAGCATGGAGCCTGGGTGTGCAGACACCTTTCGAGGAGCTCTGGCTACACCCCGTCTTTCGCCAGAGGGGAAAGGGCAAGTTGGCGGACCTCCCCGACAGGCCCCTGCCCTCCCGTGAGTCGGGCTTGGAGACGGGCTCCGGGGCGGGGGGGACAGGTGACAGGTATGAGGAGCCCGTGTTCTCTGAGGGAGGGTTTTTCCCCCACCAGGAGGAAAGGCTCGATGCAGAAGCATCCATGCGTCTCTGCCTCGCCCAGGGAAGTGTGCGTGTGTGTTGAGAGCCACAGAGAGATTTCTGCCATCTGGACCGGCGTCTAATGGCCAGGAAGCGCCCAGAGCGGGCTCGGGTGGGAAGGAGCAGGCCCGCTGGGAGCCCCATCTCCTGACTGTTCCTCCCGAGCACTTCCTGAGCGCCCGCGGGTGACGCTGGGCCTGGGGCAGTCAGGGCAGGGGGGCAGGGGTGCTGTCAATGGGCGCAGCAGAAGGTGAGGCCGCCAGCAGGACACAGGCCCCGGGAGTGTGCTGGGGACACTGGGCCTCAGGCCGGCCGATGAGGGTTCATCTTTCCAAGACCCACTGTCGAGTCCAGGGATGTGCCTTCCAGGTGTTTGTCAAGAGCTATGGAGGAGACTGAGCAGACACACGCCTGACTTACATCTGCCCACATGGGATTACGCCTCCCATTTGCAGGCAATTTTCAAGTTAAAATGTTGTCAGAGGCTTGTCACAGTTTTGATCTTTCTTTTCTGTTCTTTCTCAATCCACCCACACTCTCTAGTTGGGTTGGAAGGGAGAATGATGGTGATAGAACCTGGTTTAGATTCAGAGATTTTTTGGAAATGTCAGATAAAAATGATAAACTTTTGTAAAATTATAAAAATTGTGTAGTTTTCTCTTGGTAGAATTCAGGCCCAGAGCCCATCACAACTGTTGGCAGCTGCAGAATCTTTAGGGGACTGGAGAGACCGGGCCAGGCCTTCTGCGGTGATCCCCAGCCTACCCCTTGGGGTTTCAGCTTGACTGTCTCTTCTGCCTCATCCAGAGGTGCCAAAAAATCCCCTGGTTCACTCCTGAAACTACCACCCTGCCTCACGCAGCTCTCCTTGGGGGTCAGTACCAGGTTCAAACGGCCTTGCGGCTGACTTCTTTGCCTGTGGGAGAGTCTCTCTTTGACCTGCCATGCCTGCTTTTAGATAAAACACAATAGATGTGAAAGTGCTTTGGAAGGCATGTTCCCAGATGCCCAGCCATTCTGAGATAAAGAAACGTGGCAAACTTCTCTGGTGGTACAGTGGACAGGAATTCGCCGGCCAGTGCAGGGGACACAGGTTTGATCCCTGGTCCAGGAAGATTCTACATGCTGCACAGCAACTAAGCCCGTGCCCCCCAGCTTGTGAGTTAGAACAACCAAGTCCAAGTGCTGCGACTGGAAGCCCGTGTACCTACAGCCTGTGCTCCAAACAAGGGAAGTCACTGCGACGAGAAAAGCCTGTGCATCGCAGTAAAGAAGAGCCCCCGCTCTCCACTAGACCAAAGCCTGCGTGCACCAACAAAGACCCAGTGCAAACCAAAACAGAGAAATGTGGCAAGTGTGGATTTAAACCAGGCGCCTGGAAGCTTCTGGTGCCTGTGGGGGCTGGGAGCAGATACTGGCTGACCGCTCAGGCAAGGAACACAAAGAGTGGGTCGTCTGGTGTCTGCGCCCCCTCCCATCCCATCCAGTGAATGTCTCAAGTCCTGGGGAGCTACAACTTATCACAGAGGGAGCAGAGAAGGCCTACTCTAGGTGTCTGGGCTGACCAAAAAGGGGTTCAAAATGACCTCAGGGGGCCAGGCAGAGAAAACTGAGCAAAGATCAGTGTGAAGTCCTGTAGCCAGTCCGAAAAAGCAAGCGTGCAAGGACAAGTGGGAAGACGGAGCGCAGCCACCAGCATCAGTCCCTGCCACGACAATGAACGTTTCAGCCGCTAAGGTCAGCAGCGGCGAGCTCTGGGCAAAGTGCCCCACGGAGAAACGGCTGCAGCCTCCAGCGGCGTCATGCTTCGGTTAACGGGAGCCCCAGGGAGGAGGAGATCCATGGCATCTGGGTCCCAGCTCAAGGCAGGAGGATGGTGTTCAGGTTTCAACACCACAGCCAATCATCAGCAAACTCCAGTCCCCATTGAGGACGCGCCGCCCAGAGAAGGAGTCTCAGTGACACCTGGCTTCAGCGAGGGACTGAAGGAAGGTGCTCAAGATCTGGGGGGTGGGAGGGCACTCTGAGGACACTCCTGCCTTGCTGGCCTGCAAGGGACACGGACAACGGATCCTCTATTGTCTCCAGCCCCATCCTGTTCCATACAGTTAATGGCTCGGGTCCAGAGGAGTGAAGGCTTCTCTGAAATGCACGGCCGTCTGGTGGGGTCAGCACGTGGGGAGGAGAAGCCTGAGGAGCTCAGACGTGGAGTAGGGAAAGCATCACGCAGCGCAGGTTAAGCAGACTTTGCCAGTTTATGACGTTCTCCCCCTAACGCGTGCCCGAGGCTGCAGAAGGGGGGGGGTCCTCACCCACCCCGCCTCCTCCCTGCCCAGTACTTCCCACTGCCGGGATCCATGTCTCCCCAGACCCAGTCTGTGGTATCCTGTCAACTCCTCTTTCCAGACGTCTTCTGAATCTGTTCCATCCATCCTACCTCCAGAAATCCCCCCAAAGTCGTGGCGTTAGGGAGGCCTCATCCTCTCACCCACCTGGATGAGCTCCAGACGGACCTCTGTTTTCGCTGTAGCTGCTTCGGCCCCTGCAGTCAGATCGCCTTCCCGCATCAGCTCCAGGACGGCGCTCCCGGTCACACCAGGCCTCCCTCAGGATGCTGTGTTGGCCGAGCCCCTGCTCGTCCCCTAGCCACCCCGAACGAGCCCGCTGGACCGCTCCCCCATCCTAACCCACTCCGCGTCTCTCCCTTTCAGGGAGGCCTCGGCCAGGAACGAATGCGGACCCTCTGAATCGCCCCTACTTTCAGCACAGCCCGTGCTTCCCCACGACCTCCTCCAGGAGGCCCTCCAGAGCCCGCGGGAAGCCTCTTCTCCGCCTCCAGCGTGCCTCTAGCACGCAGGGCCGGCTCTGTGCCCCGGAAGCAGAAGGGGCCTCTGTGCCCCGGAAGCAGAAGCGTGTCACCTGCTCCGCTGGCATCTCTTCCGCTGAGGCACGACGGAGTTCCCGGGCAGTGTGCTGGTCTTCACCGGCGTGTGCGCTCTCTTAGGCCGTAACTTCTAACCCCGACCACAGATTTCCAGACAGTGTAGTGGGAATGGCTTCCCTTCCAGCCCAGGGTTGAGCACAGTGAGCGCCTGATACAGCGTGGCGACCAGGTGCGCTAGGGAAGAACACGGCCGTGGACGTGAGACCCGGGGCCTACGGCCTTCGTGGGGCCGAACGGGCTCACGGGACTTGAAACACGGCGGCCAGCTTCCTTCCGCCATGCAGAGTGCCCCTTCCAGCTCTGGCGCTCCCCGAGTCTGTGTGACTGGGGGCTGACCCGGGCCTCGGCCAGGCTGGGAAGCAGCGATAGAGGCCACAGACCGGCCCTCGGAGGGAGCGAGGGAGCAGGAGACGGGAGCTAATAGCCCTGCAGGAAGGAAGGACACGCTGGGCTAATGGGATAATTGGATAATCCTCTGAGCAAGGGGCTGCCGGGCTGGGGCCAGCTGTTAGCAGCAGACACAAATAGCACGAGCAAAACAAGGGCGCTGGCGCAGGAAGCAGCCTGCAGAGAGATACTGGGGGAGGGGCGGTGTGGCAGAGGGGTGGGAGGCAAACTGCAGCCCCATTCTCCGGGGGCGGCAAGGACAGGCCCTCAGGGAGCCCTGCTCTGACTCTGTAACAGAGACTCCGTGAGGGACAGCCTCAGAGACCCCGGACTCACTCTGGCCTTGAGGGTGTCCCTTCACCCGACAACCCTTGGGGACCATGAAGGCCTCACCCTTGCCCGCTGGAGTGGGCCGCTCAGACAGACGCGCTCAGGCAGATGGGCCGCTTGTCTGACGTGCCTGTGAAAACACTGCTGGGCTTCTATGCAGTAATCATTTCGGGTGTAGGTCTCAGGGTTCCCTTCATTTCAGGCTAAACAATGGGTCTGTCAGGGGGTTTGGGCATAGAACAAAAGTAACTTGGAAGGAGGCTCTGGTCTAGCAGTCTGATGCCTGGCTTCTAGTCACACAATTCATGATGTGATCTCCCCGGTTCTCAGCCTAACCATAAATGTAATGGTGGTTCAGTCGCTAAGTCGTGCCTGACTCTTGTGACCCCATGGACTGTAGCCAACCCAGGCTCCTCTGTCCATGGGATTCTCCAGGCCAGGATACTGGAGTGGGTTGCCATGCCCTTCTCCAGGGGATCTTCCTGACTCAGGGATCGAACCAGGTCTCCTGCATTGCAGGCAGATTCTTTACTGACCGAGGGGCAATGAACAACACTCTTCCTGTGAGGCTGCTGTAGACAGAATAAGACCATGAGTGGGAGAGCAATCGGAAATTCACAAGTGCTCTGCCAAGTACTTCAGCCCCAGCTCTTTCTAACGCTGTGTAATTTTGGAAAGGCTGTTTCCTTTCTCTGGGCTCCAGTTTCTCCTACTACAGTGCTATGACCAAATGGGATGCTCTTCAAATTCCCTTCTGATTCCAACGGCTCTAACCCTTATAAAAACCAGTTTGTTTACACCTCTATATACTATAAGTAAAGTATGAAAAAGGAAAACTTGAGGCCAATATTACCCACAAGTTTAGACACAAAATATTCAGTATTAGCAATGTATAAAAATAAATCATGACCCATTAGAGTTTATCCCAGGAATGCCAGGGTGGCTTAACATTAGATAATCAATCAATAGTATTCACATTAGTGAATTAAAGAAACATATCTCAATAGACACAGCAAATTATTACGATGTTAAAAATTCAACATCTATTCATAGTAAAAACTCTTTGTAAACTAGAAATATAAAAGCATTTTCTTAGCCCAATAAACAGTATTCCTTGAAATCCTACGGCAAATATCATATTCAGTGGTGAAATATTAGAAGCCTTCTCTCTCTAGTAAAGACTATTCAGTATTGTAATAAAGGTCTGAGAGATCACAGTAAGCATGAAACTGATGTAAGACTGGGAAAGGAAATAAAGTGATACTGTTTGCATTAACTCTGTTGAAAAATTCAAAAAATTTCCTTGGAGATGACTGTACTAACGAGAGCTCATCAAGGCTGCTGGATAGATGGTCAATATTAAAAAAATCAACAGCCTTCCTATATACCATCAAAAACTATTGTAAGAGGACTCCTCTGGTGGCGCGGTGGATAAGAATCTGCCCACCAATGCAGGGAAACGGGTTCGATCCCTGGCCCAGAAGATTCCACATGCCGCAGAGCAACTAAGCCAGCCAGCCACAACCACAGAGCCGCCCGTGAGCCTCTGCGCCTCAAGGGAAGTCGCTGCAACGAGGAGCCCGCGCACGGCCACCGGGGAGCAGCTTCCACTTCAAGCTTTCAGAGAAGGCCCTCGCGCAGCCACGAAGACCAGCAACCGAAAATAATAATAAAATAAGTAAATTCAAAATAACAATAAAATTAAAAGCTATTCTAAGAACCAATTTACAAATATATCGTTTACAATAGCAACAAAAACTAGAGGGTACCTAAGAATAAATCTAACAAATACGCACAGAAGAGAAGACTCAATCTGATGCAGAGACGTGCCATGTTTGTGAACGGGAAGAGTCTATATTATAAAATTGGCAGTTATTCCCAAATTAATTTTAAATGAAATATAAACCTCTTAAAAAGCCCAAGAGGGTTTTCATGAAATTTGACAGTCTGGATTGAAAAAATAAATAATGTGAGGGGAAAAAAAAAACGAGCAAAAAGAGCCAAAACAACTTTCCTCCTTTTGAAGAAGGTGAAAATTTGCCTTAAAAGATATCTAAAGTATAAAGCTCAAGGCAGACATTACAATAGGCAGACAGGCAAATAGAAAAAGTGGGTGGGATATAAAGGTTAGGAACAAATTTGTCTTGCATGGGCATGTGTCATGTGGTAGCGGTGACATTACAAATCACAGAAAAAGGACAGAGTGTTCATTAGATGGCTCTGAGACAATAGAGTTTCTTAATGGAAAAGTAAAACTGAAAACAAAATAAAGGTGGCTAAAAAAAACTTTAACACTTAAAAAAAAAACTTTAACTCTTTTAACAAGCAAGAAACAAAAAAACAAAGATAACTTTATGATCTCTGGGGAAAGATGGATTTCTTAAAGCAGAAAATCTGTAAGAGAAAATACTGCTAAACCTACTTATTTAAAATTTTAAACTTCTTTTTCCACAAGAAACATTCAAAAAGTGTGAAGAAAAGCCACAAACTTGGAGAAAGTAACTACGGTGCATATAGTCAGTAATCAATAAAGTATAAGTGTCCACAATACACAACTCCTATGAAAATAACCTGTTAGACAAATGGGTGGAGTTAAAACCAGACAGTTTAGATGAGGAAGTCTAACTGATCAATAAACATGTGAAAATAAGTTCAATCCCTTTATACATTTTTGGTGGGAATGTAAAGTGGCCCAACCTCTACGGAAAACAACACGGAGGTTCCTCAAAAAGAAGAAAAATAGATTTACCTTGTGATTCAGCAACCCATTCTTGGGTACATAGCCAAAGGAAATGAAAACAGGATTTCAACAAGACATCTGCACTCCCTATTGACAATAGCCAAGATACAGAAACAACTGAAATGCCCATCAATGACGAATGGATAAAGGATGTAGCACACACACGATGGAGAGTGGGGACACTCTGCCACTTGCAGCACGGGTGGGCCTTGAGACGAGCCACAGAGAAAGACAGCACTATATACCCCTCACACGTGGCACCTAAACAAGTTAAAACTGTAAGAAGCGAATAAAACTATGGTGCTAGGAGATGGGGTGTGTGTGTGTGTGTGTGTGTAGCAACGCTGCTGGTGTTTAAGAGAACAAACTTGTCTTTAGTACATAAGTCACAGCCTGAAGAACACAGACGATAATTTGCCTTAATATATGACTATGTAATGTGAAAATATCGTTGCACCGGCAATCGTTACAAACCATAAACACATACACTACCTATCAAACTAACGCCGAGCCCCTGCTCCTGCCCCAGGGGTCCCTAACCACTACGTCCCCTGGCGAGCACAGCGGCCTGGCGTTCCCCTCGGACAGGGCCACCGCTGAGGACTGCGTTGAAGTTGAGATTATGCTACCCCTCTTCTCATTTTTAACATGTAGAAATATTTCCAATTCTCCTCCTTCACAGTACTTACTGTGAAGAATGAAATGTGAATTAACTGATGAAGAATTAAAGATTAAACATGCAAACGAGTAAGGAAAGAGGGGCACCTCCAGAGCCAGGCCGGTCTGCGGGCTTCAGACTGTGGTCTGGCGGCCCGGGACCGCTTTTGGTGGCCCTCCTCTCACCCAGACCAGAGACCCAGGGACAAAACGCGGGAGCCCTGCCTTCTCGAGTGACCTCTTATTGACACAGGGTTGTTTTCTCTGCCAAACAGACCGAAAGGAAGGAAGGCCAGCAAGACATTCGTTCTTTTTTTAGCTTCTCAATGGCTGACGTTTCAGGAAACCAAAATTCTGAATGGAACCAGAGGGGATTTCAATTCGCGGGGATTCTGCTACCAGGGTGCAAGTCTAGAGGTTCAGGGGAGGCCTTTGTCCAAAAGTCTCTCCCAAACTTAAGTGCTCATGCTCAGAAATCCATCATTAGAGCTTTACTTCTTTGGCACAAGCCAAACATGAGTTTTTGTCTTCTGTACAATCACCCAAGTCATACATATAAAATCGTATCAGTCACCTCATTGTGGATGTTAATTCGGTCCTTTCCTGACTACAGGCTTGGATGGAGAAGAGAAGGCTGGAGCACGGCAGGTGGCAGCCCCTATGGGAGGCGAGATGGGAAGCGTGTAGAAGAGGAAGACTGTGGAAGCAGGTGGAGCTGGCAAAGCCTTCTCACCAGGACAGCCAGGCGTGGCCTCCAAAGCACCCAGCAAAACTAGTGCAGAAGAGCCAGAC